TCAGGGCAAATAGTGACAGATATTGACAGCTGTAATTTATCAACATTTGCCACAAGATCTTTCCCTGTAGTTGAATATCTTCGTTTGTAAATGCTGACATCTTTATTATTTATCTGATTCTACATTCTTCCTGGCCAGATCCAACTCAAGGGGCCAGGAACAGAAGCCGATTGCCCTCCACCTGGGTTGTCTGGAGAAGAGGAAGGCCAAGCAGCAAGCTATCCTGCCTTACACTTCTTATGCAGTGCCCGCTTCACCTGTCCTTTCTTGGGCGGTTCCAGGCGGGTGAGATCACTGGGCTGCACCCAAAAATGCTGTTACCACAATCTCTGCAGCGTCCACTTCACCTGCCCCTTCTCAGGCAGTTCCAGGCAGCAGAGATCACAGTAACAACATTTTTGGGTGGTAGCGCAGCAATCTTGGCTGCATGGAACAGCCCAACAAGGGGCAGGTGAGAGGTGTAAGGCAATGTGGCTCACTGCTCGGCCTTCCTCTTCTCCAGATAACCCAGGTGGAGAGTAGTTGGCTTCTGCTCCTGGGCTGTGAGACAGATCTGGCCAGGAGGGATGCACGCCCCATTTTTGCAATCAGGAAGGAAAAAGAGCGTTTCAGGTGGCATACGGTTCCAGGCTGCGGGGATTGCAGATCCGTCTCCCAGGCCAGGAGCAGAAGCTGACCTTCTTCCGCCTGGGTAAGAATTAATCCGGACTGGGCTATGTCTGGAGGGAGCCAGGCAAGTGAGAGCTCTGCGTGGTGGGCAGGGAGTGTGCATGTGTTGGTGATGGTGGGTTCTTCCGGCAAAGACTTTCCTTCCTAAGCCATGCAGTTTTTGGTGGGTCGGAGGGGTGTCACGCTGGCTACCTTCAACCCTGGCCAGCCTGGGAGGCCAGATGGCTATTTGGAAGGCTTTTCGGGAGGGCCTAGAAGCAAACTTTGCAGGAGGCCCATGCCAGGCCCCAGGTGTGCGTGAAAGAGCAGGTGACAGTGAAAGCAAATGAGCCAGGACCAGATGCCGGGCTCACAATAATTCCACAAAATTAATGTGCATCTTATACTCCGGTGTGTCCTATACTCCGAAAAATGCAGTATATCGTATGGGTAAATATTATTTCCTGGGTTTATACAAATGCCCCTCCATTTTCCTCCCCCCCCACATTTATAAAGACAATAGCATTTTGGGAGTAGCCCAAAATTGTAACACAATAGCATCTTAACATTCGCAAACTCTATTACTCAGTATGATACTTCGCTCAGAGCAACATGTTATGTACTTTTGAAATGCAACACCTGAAAAAAGATAATCAGTAGACTAGGTTTGTACAACTAGAAAAGTTTAAATATGATTGTTTATAGCTTCTCATACTGTGTGAATCAGGGGTGGGTTCTGGCTGCCGCTACTGCCGGTTTGCTCAGGGATGTGTTGTGTGTTTGTGTGCTTGATGTTCGCTGCACACGCATGTACAAAAGAAAAAACCAGATGGCGGTGCCTACGGTGCAGCCGAGAGAACCTGTTTGGGGGCGTGGCAGGTCTGGGTCGCTGCCAGTTTCAGCGACCCATGCCAAGTTACTACCAGTTCAGCCGAACCGGTCCCAACCAGTAGGAACCCACCTCTGGTGTCAATATAATTGGCATAATTAGCTAATGATTTACTTTGTTGCATAAAATATGACAAATTAGAAGTTCAGTTAATATGCTAAGTAAATACATCCATATAGCAACGTATTTATTCTTTGGAATTCCTGAATTGAGGAATTGAGATAAAGAGTCAGTTTTTTATAAAAATATTGTCAGATATGCTACATTATATATCTTAACATTAAATTTCACTGTAATCATTTGTAGAATTTACCTTTTCTTTGCTAGGTATTATATGTTCCTAAGAACTTAAAAGGGGGAGAGTGAGTTCTGTTCTCATGACATATCAACATTTTAGGCTGATACATAGCTTGAGTCTTGTTCATGTAATTAATTTATAATTCAGAGTAGTAATGTAAACCCCAAAGTATATTGTAAAACATAACATAAAACATGTATCCTTGTTTTTTAAAATATAAAGATAGCACTGCAATGAATAGATTTTTTTTTATAAACTTATTGATCTGGCCACATATGTACAGATTTATTGAGCAGAAAGGTAGAAAGCAGAATAACTATTAGCAAATGTAAACACTTGAGTAATACATAATTCATGAGAACAACACAAATTGACTGTTCACTTCTATGGAGTAGCTTGCATGGACGACCAGTGATTGCTATATGTTAATGAACAACAAAGTTAGAATGTGAGCTACAGCTGTTCAGAGCTATCAGTCAGGAATTTTTATGGGCCACAAGTTTTTCCTGCTCTGAATAGGCCTGCTTCCATGCTTGAAGCTCAGTAAGTTCATGTATTCAGTCATAAATGTGTATACAGTCACAATGACATCGAATAATAAACTAAGCCATTTTGACTTTGTTGCACAAATCCTGACAGTACATTTAGTGAACTCAGGAAATTGGGCTAATTTCATTATTTAGTTAGCCACGGGTAAGCAAGTTGTACAGAGATAGCCTATAGATTTAAACTCAATGAGTTCATTATTCTGGTGAGTAATAGTGACTTGCCCACAGGCATTCAGGATGGAACTATAACTGAAGTCTCACAGGGACAAATCTGACTGTCAAATTGCTTGAAAGCTGTTCTTCTTTTGCATCTCAATAACAGCAACGGTCCCTTTGAGGTTTATTAGCTCTATTTCTTCACAGTTCCTTAAAGATGGAACATTCTTTATAGATTTTCCAGTCTATTAATTTTGAAACATTTATGGCTCGAGAGTAGAGTGTAGTATAGAAGTAAAAGATATGAGATTCCCTTACTCATGTCTTCTCTAAGTTTTCCATATTTATATATTGTGTAATTTTTATCTGACCCTTCTTCTAAGGAGTTTAGGGCAGCCTAAATCATCTTTAATATTCATAGCTATCCTGAAAAAATATTTTAACTAAAGTAGGAATTTTGAACTATTAACTGATAAGCTGTGTAGCTAGAGATTTGAACTTGTGTATTGTCAGCCTTTCAACCTCATGCTATACAGTATGCCCTAGGGATATTTGTTGATTTTTGAAAACCAATTTTGAACATTTCAAAGTGAAGGACTGTCAGATATTATTGTTTCAGATAAAGCTGTGGAAGCACTGTGGTAGGATTTATAGCTTATATATAATGTGTATTATTAATTGTGTATCATTATTAATAGAACTATACACCCAGTTGGATTTGAAGGGAAAAGAGGGTTTTGACTGTGCAGAGAAGCCCATGGTAGCATGTGCATTGATTAAGGGGTTTCCCATAGGTGCTAAGAGTACCTCAAATCTCTCAAGCATCATGCAGCCTTAACTATTTATGTTGTATAAAAATGGCTACAAGAGCATTCCTATTAATATGTATTCATTTTGATTGAGCAAGGAAAGGCCACTTTGTTTTCATGTCCTACATACCAGTGATTTATTTAGTTAAGATCTATAATTAAGTAGTCTTGGTTAGTATGGCATACTGAATTGCAAACTAATTACTCTGGGTACATTCATACATGGCTAAAACCTGGTTTGCTTTCTTGCTGTTTAATACATTATATGAACCTATCCTTTCTCTTCTAAAATCCCTTTTACATTTCCAAGTCGTTGCACTGCAAATTGCCTCTAGTTTTTCTAGAATGATTAAAGAACAAAACCTAGTTTCTGCATTTTTATAACAATATATTAGAAGGAATCTCCATTCATGTACTTTTAGCAAATTAATATTTAAAAAAGCAACTGCTTTTAAATTAAACACAGTACTAAAAACAGTCCAGGAAGAGAACATAGTGATCTGTGTGATGTGTCATCATATGCTTCTGACAAAAGTATGCAGCCTTTGGTCTGTTTTCTGATTAGCAAGAGGATAAATCTTCTTTTCCGCATTTTCATGTAAGAGCATGCTAGAAGAATGATGAATGTATTTTATATGGAAGGAGTTGTGAACTTGGTTATGGTTAATTAGGAATTTAAATTCCTTTCTCAAATATGTGTACAGTCATGGCCCTTCCTAATTTTAGTAAACTCACTGTAAACCATAGCCTATAAAACCATAGTTTAAGTAAATCACAATTTATGGCATAATTATGGTCTATAACTGGAAGCTATAAATATACCATAAAGCACTCTCTGGAGCAATAATGGCCTGTAAAGCAAACAAACCAAAGTCTTATCAAGTCATATCAGAATTTGTACAATGTATGAACTTTATGGTTTGTCTAACATTCTAGGTCTGACTTCAGTTACTGGAACTCTGCAACCTCAACTATTTAGCCTCAAAACAAACAAGAATGTTTCACATACTCTCACAAATTCAAGTTTGTCCTTATCCTGCTAAGTGTACGCTTGCAAATGGTACTTATCTGCTAAACTGAAACCGAACAAAGCATTATGTCTTAATGCCTGGTGTGCACCACGCCCACATAAATTTGGTTCGTTGGGGTGAAAAGCCACGCAGATATTGCAATTTGTTAACTAATTATTTTGGTTTAGCATATTTATTTTTAAAGTTTGGAGACAGTAGAATGCATCCAGACTTTCAAACGAGTCCCAATAATTAGGAAGTATTGGGGAAGCACTCCAGAGTTGGCGTTATGGTTATACAAAGCACTACTTAGAGGCTTGTGTCCGGGGGGGGGGGGGGGGGGGGGGGGGGGGGGGAGGAAGAGGTGAGCTTTTCTCACTGTTCCTCATTCTCGAATAACCTTCCAGAGCCTTGAAACCGAGCAACTGAAGACAAAAGGGGGGGGGGGGGAAGCACAGGATTTCACGCATACCTTTTCCCAGTAGCTAACACTCTGCCTTTGGGAATTTGGGAACAAACCACTCAGCGTCCAGGCTGTTCTCTGGCTACTCTCCATTTAGAGTAGCTTTGATTAAGCAGAGCTTTAAGTAGAAACTATAACGAGACGCACCGGCAGCGGTGAAGTAAATCAAGGAACGTAAAGACCGCGGCGGTAGGCGTGGCAGGACGGCACGTGGATTGGCAAGAGCGGCGGCGGCTACGGGGATCCCGTTGTTGCTATTTCTTGATCTGGGGAGAGTCAGGGAGTGCGACGGCCAGCGCACATCCGCCAAGGTATTGTAAAAGCCTTGCTGCTGCTTAGGGTATAATTTGTACTTGCATTTATTTTGTATTTTTTCATCCCACAGCATAGTTACATAGGAAATAAATAAGAAAACAAAGCAAAAGTGAGAACGATAGGAGGATGCTCTTCAGCTTTCCTTGTGGTTCCCGCTGCCTCTCTTGGCATGAAATTCCACCTCCCGACCACTTTATTGCAGAGTGAAATGCGGTTTGTTCGTCTCCTTCCCCTACTTATTTTGTCTAGAAACTCCATTGTGTCCTATAAAGGGACACAATGAGCATAGATCGACAGGGAATCAAAATGGTCCTATTCCCACTCCGCTGGAAGAGTAACTCATGCTGGATGACCGGTTTGAGTTCCAAAAACCTGACATTTATTTTGTAAAAAGCGTCGTAGAAGCGCAAGCAAACAAATCGGGGTGGTAGTGGGGACGCTGCTGCAGGTCGGAGACTGAGCAGGAATATTCCGAGATTGATAGGTCCTTTTGCAGCAGCAGAATAAGAGGCGGGCTAGAATAAAGTTTAGAACGGGAGGCCGATGGTCATCCGGTTTTTGAGGCGAAGGGATTGCGCAGGGTTTCTAAGCGGCTCCCATTTCGGTAGTGTGTTTTCAGAGTACAGATTTAATGCAAACAAAGTCTCTGCTAGACTGCCCCGTCCTAGTTACATCCCACCTTTCACGCAATTCAGGAGTAACGCTCTTTTAAAGTTTGGTGTCCACTTAAGAGTTGAAGTTTGGGGTGACAGCCGGAAGTCGGTTGCTTTTCCTCTTCTATTTTGATGTACAGTACAGTGTCTCTTCTGGGTATACCCAGATGTGTATCTGCAAGCGGTGAAGATGCTTATGTGGCATGGAGAGCTGGCACCCATCAAGATGATGGAGTGAAGCTGGAGAAATAAGACCTGACTCAAAATAGCAGTGAACTGCTATTGAACTGTCACTAGTAGGTTTGATTGGACATGGGGTGAGTTCACTTTTTAGCAGCTTTGCAGGAAAGTTACACGTTTTTCAGCTACCATAGTAAATAGACATCTGCATAAAATTGGTGCTGTGTTTGCTGGAGGAGCTTCTGGAATTTAAAATTATGGGCTCCGGTAGTAATTCAGATTGATTGTTTTATAGCAAAACTACTAAGAAGTGAAAAAAGCAGCTTAGCATATTTTTAAACTCCACTAATTTCTTTTTCCTTTAAAAATATTGTATAATAAATGCCTCTTCCTTCTCTCTGTATGCTGTGGAAGCCTTGGGACATAAATGAAAAATATGGCTAGGCAGTTAAGTATCTGGACGGAAGTTTTTAAGTGAAGCTTTAAAAAGGATTAAATGGGATGTGTAACTGCTGTAAAGTACTGATGAAGCAATTAAATAGCTCAAAATAAAGTGGAAATAATTGTAAGAAGAAAATGAAAGCTTTGCAAGGAGTATGGTGATGAACTTATAATATATGATACATGCAGTAATTATTTCTCTATTTACATCATGAACAATTGTAATTTAACATTAATGCCTTGGTATTTTATTCTTTTTTCGTTTGCAGACAATGGCACATCTCAGACATCAAGAGGGAGTAATGTAATAAACTAAAATAATGAATAGAAAATGCTATGCTCAGAAGTCTGACAACATTAAGTGTAGAACAAACCAACCTTATTTGCTTTTATTTGTCTTTTATCATTCTGGTTATCATTGCTTGCATAAATGCATAGCAAATATTGCTAAATCTAGAAATGGGTTTAATGTATATTAAACCCATTTCTGTGGGTTAAAGAACCTTCACTATGAGCAAATTTGTTTGAAGATTTTCCAGGCCACTTTTGGGGAGTCAGGCAAAAAACTCTTTTACTTTTTCTATCTTGAACTTTTTAGGGAACAAAATTGAACTAGAATGCACAGTGGTTCCCTGAAGCAGCAACATTTCCCCTTTGATGATTAAAATAGAATTGGCAATTTCACTATCTGGCCTCTTATTTGTTTACTTTCAAAAAATGGGCCTTTTTCACTAATTTGTCTTTAACATTTATCTATCTTTTGGAGACTGCTTAGTGAGCTAAATTTTGTGATGTCCTGCAATACTAAAGTATATGTTTCTAACTCTGAATTGTCTGATATCAAGAAAAGGAGATAACGTATTTTCATAGTAAACAAAAGAAAGCTTATAATTGCAAGTGGAACATTTTTCCTCATGTAATACATATGGAATTAAGTACTGTATGTGTTGCTACTCCTGATTTCTGGTATGCTATCCGTTTGTAATGAGCAGTGTTTCTTGAGCAGTGTTTCTCCAAAGGCAGAATAGTTGGCCACTTGTCGCCCACCAGAAGGCAGAAATTTCAAGTTTCCCTAATTCTCAGCTACTGTGACTAGTAATACAAAATTAATACCACTTAGTTGTCCCTGAAACAGAATTCTGCTTCAGAAAAATAATGTCTATTTAATTACTGTATTGCATTCCTCCCAAACTGGGAGAATAATCTTGTACAATAATTGTTGCAGTGGAGAGAAAAAAATGTAAATGTGATATAATAGGGCTTGGGAAGAAGAATCATCTTGCAATGATACTCAAGATTTCCTTTGTTCAAATGCTTAAGGGAGGCCTAGTATAATATAGAGATTAATATTTGACGTTTTGAACTGGCATTGAGGAAACTGAGATTCTAATCTATCCTTATAGATGACCCTTGCATGATTTTGGACCACATGAGTTGTCCAGAGCCCCAAAATGTTTCAGGTGTGTTAGTGGGCTCCATCCCATCAACTTCCAATCAGACTAGCAACTCTCTTGTACAGGTAGTCCTTGAGTTACAACTGTAATAGAGATAGCCCATTAAGCGAGATGGCCTTGCTTAAGGACCCTCACCACTTGTTCTCTTTGATGCAGCTGTTAAACAAACATAGAGGTTGTTAATGGACAACAAGTTGTTTGGGATGGGGTGGTCATTTGAGACTTTTGCACCTCATTCTTTGCTTCTTGCTCCTCAGAATCCTGCAGTTCTTCAGTTTCCTTTCCATCCAGCGACCTAGGGGCGATCAGGCTGACTGGAGTTTGTAAGCTTCCAACGGGAAAGGGAAATCATGCCAATGGCAGCTTGCAAGCACACACTGAACAAGGGGAAATCAGGCCAGCTACATAAACAGTGTTAATACCACTTTATAATGCCTTGGTAAGGCCACACTTGGAATACTGCATAGAAAAGATGTGGAGACTCTAGAAAGAATGCAGAGAAGAGCAACAAAGATGATTAGGGGACTGGAGACTAAAACATATGAAGAACGGTTGCAGGAACTGGGTATGTCTAGTTTAATGAAAAGAAGGACTAGGGAAGACATGATAGCAGTGTTCCAATATTTGAGGGACTGTTACAAAGAAGAGGGAGTCACCTATTTTCCAAAGCACCTGGGGGGTAGAACAAGAAGCAATGGGTGGGAACTAATCAAAGAGAAGCAACTTAAAACCAAGGAGAAATTTCCTGACCGTTAGAACAATCAGTGGAACAACTTGCCTCCCCAACTTGTGACTGCTCCAACACTGGAAATTTTTAAGAAGACGTTGGCTACCCATTTGAAGTGGTGTAGGGTTTCCTGCCTAAGCAGGGGGTTGGAGCAATGTCCCCTCTATTTTTTTTTCTGTGTGAGCAGAAAAGTATAGTGTTTGAGATGCATATTTTCATGCCTGAGCACCTGAATTTTTTT